CGTCGCCCCGAAAGGGGGGGGCCGACGCCCACGGAGAGCCAGGCGTGCTCGGGCGACGCCGACGAGCGCCGCCGCCGCGGCCCGGAAGCCCTGGCCCCCTCGCTGCAAAGGGGGGGGAGGTGTCCACATCCACCGCCTGGGGCACGACGTCCTGGTGCCCCTGCGGGCGGCGGATGTGGGTATATGTTGGCCCCCGAATATAATAATATATATAATAAGTATATATATTATATATATATATTAGATATAGATATATTATAATATCTATAAATATAATATTACTATATAATCATACATATACCCATATATACATTATATACATATATAATATATATACTATCACATATATATATGAATGTATGTCTATATATACATATATACATACATATACATCTATATATACATATATACATACATACATACATACATACATACATGCATGCATACATACATACATACATACATACATACATACATACATACATACAAACAAACAAACATACATACATACATACATACATACATACATACATACATACATACATACATACATACATATATAGCCATGTCCATATCCATATCCACCGCCTGCGAGCCCCCTAAAATTGATCCTCCAGGCGCGCGCGTCGCCCCTGGGGGGCCGACGCACACGGAGTGCAGGCATGCTCGGGTGACGCCGACGAGCGATGCAGTCTCAACCTGCAGGGCTGAGCCTAAGCGGTGTGGTTCGTTTTCGTTTTGTTCTCGTTTTCCCTCGCTGTTGTCTCCAATCCGCCTCTGCTGCAAAACGAAGGCGAAACGAAAACGGCCCACAAAATCATCAGAAACACCGTTTAGGTCCAGCCCTGTCAACCTGGAAGCCCTGGCCCCCCTCTCGGGGCCCGAGAGGACGGACAGGGTCCCATGCCGAAAGCGCGTACGGCGGGTATGCGTCGTGTCGACCCTGGCGCATTGGTTTCTGACACCATGGGGGTTGCGCAACCTTGAACGAGATCGGCCGTTTCCGAAACGCCAGATCGCTCGGCATCGATCGATTCCGGGTCGCCGGCGGCGTTCAACGTTGAACGACGGCGGCGGGGCCGTCGCCGGTCAACACGACGCGAACCTACCGCACGCGGGCCCCGGGACCCAGGGCAAGGCCTCCGCGATCCCAGGCCGTGGCGTGGGGCCCCGGGGCGGGGAGGCCCCGAACGGTGCGGGTGCAGCCTGTAGGTTCCTCCCTGCGCTCCGGGCCCCGTCCCGCTGCCACGGCCCGCCCTTCTCAGCACGCGCTCACCCCAGCGCTGTGGCTGACGAGGGCTGGCCCGTGGACTTCGTCCACGGAAGGGGTGCTGCCACAAGGCTCGGGGCCCCCGCTGCGGGCCACCGGTCCTTGCCCATTTCCTCCGCCCCGGCGACGCTGGCGGCGGTGGCAATTGTGGCCCTCCTCCTCCTCCTCCTCCTCCTCCTCCTCCTCCTCCTCCTCCTCCTCCTCCTCCTCCTCCTCCTCCTCCTCAAGAAAGGGGAGAGGGAGAGGGGGGAGAGGACGGGAGAGAAGGGGACGGGAGGATGTGCAAACATAATCTAACATCCAGATCAGCCTGCCTCCAGAGCTGCAGGTCCCAAAAAAGGAAGGGCGACCGCCAACGGTGAAGGCCAGCCTGTAGGATGTCCTCTCTGGTTGCGGTTGCCGCTGCGGGCAGCGAGCGGAAATACAACAAGGGATAGGATCCCGAATACATGCCCAACACACCAACGCCCCCCCAGGATGTGCGAAAGGGAGAGGAGGCGAGGGAGGACGACGACGACGACGACGACGACGACGACGACGACGACGTGGAGGAGCAGCAGCCGGACGAAAGAAGCAGGAGAGGGGGAAGGATGCGCATCAGCGGGAAAGGCTGGATGACAACGAAGACGAGGACGACGAGAAGCAGCAGGTGGAGGGATAGGGGAGCAGGAACAGGAAGACAAGGAGGATAATGGGGAAGAGGAGGAGGAGGAGGAGCAGCAACAGCAGCAAAGCATCGATGACGAGGACGAGGAGGAGCAGCAGGAGGGAATGAGGAGGAGGAGGAGGACGACGACGACGACGACGACGACGACGAGGAGGAGAAGCAGCAGGCGGGGAGGAGGAGGAGGAGGAGGAGGAGGAGGAGGAGGAGGAGGAGGGGGAGGAGGGGGAGGAGGGGGTGGTGGTGGAGCTCCCTAACGACCAAGGTCGAATGGTCGGAGGAGAAGTCTGGGGTTACCCCCTCACTCACGCCCCGGCACCCCACAACTGGGGGGCGCCAGCGACAGTGCCCGTCGGCAGCTGTCGGCGCACGGCCGCATCACACGCTGCTGCAGCACTTCAAAACAAGAACAAATCATGCACAACCTCAAACTGCTCACTCACTGCACCCTGCTCCCTCGCACATGCACGACATACACCAACAAAACTCCTCCCGTCCACCAGCGCCACACATGCCCCATGAGCAAATGCAGCACAAGCTTCAGACAGGCATACCACACATGTCGACAAACAGCACGTCGCAAGCGAGCAAGTAGCACAGGCTGACCAGGCACAACACGCGTCGCCGATCACGCCGTCGAGCGAGAGACCGAGGTACGACTGAAGACGAAGAACTCATGCTCCTGACCTGCACCAGAGACAACTACCCAATGCCGATGACCACCCGCCACCCGACCACGACAGCACCCGCTCACAGCGCCCAAAAAAATCAGGCACATCACATAATGTCGCCCATATCAGCCACGAGCACGTCACCGACCAGCAGTCACTACTGTGGGGTCAGCATCTTCTGCCCCTCCACTTCGAGATACCCCGCAGGACGCGGACCCGTAAACACTTCAGCACCCACATGCTCATACAGGATAGCGACGATGACCTGCTCGAGCTGCTCGTCGGCGATCGTTTCAATCAAACGGCGCAGCTTCGAGTCGAACATCTTTTCCGTTCTGAACAAGCGAATCAGGAGCTGCGCACGAAGGGAACCTGGAACGAAACTGCCCATGCATTTCCGCACGATGGCCTGCTGCTCAGTCGACCCCTTGGCCCCGAGCACAAGCGCCGCACCTGCAAACTGAAACGAATCTGGGGCACCGAGCTCGTGGCCCTTCTGGCCCTTCACCCGCGGCAAGTACTCCTGGTCGTGAGCGCTTTTCATACTCACATAAACTGCATCCTCCACTTTCAAAGCGAACTGATACGTCGCAGCGGCTTCCAGGAGCCTCGTACGTTGCGCACTGATCACCCCTAGCTTCAGCGCCACTTCGGCCTTGGCCTCCGTCGACGAAGCCAGCAACACGCTTCGCGCGAGTCGAGTCCTCCGCCGCAGCTGCTGATGCTGCAGGCTTCTTTCTTCTCCGCCCACCTTGCCGAGAGGGCAGAACCCCCAACTGGCATAGATGCATCTTCAGAGAAGAAACTCTTGTGTTTCTAGTGGAAGGTGTGCTCGAAGATGCCAACGAGCCGACACATAGCTACTGAAACTCAGATCACATATCTCACAGGAATACGGAGGACTGGTGATATGACTGTGTTGAACCGCAGAACCCTTGGACCGAGGACACTTACCAAGCTCAAGACTCTTTTCCAGGTGAGAGCTAGCATACCTTTTGGTGGTATATATGTTGCCACACAGAATACATGCATTGCTGATAGTAACAATTCGAGCAAGAACTCTATGCCCATGATTGGGCTGCCGAGAATTAGCTTGATGTAACAGTAGTTGCCGTTTAGTCGGGAACGAGGCCCCACAGACTCCCTCCGACTCCCCAAGACTGAGATCGCATTTGAAGTCACCCACAGACGGAGGAGGAGGAGGGGGAGGAGAAGGGGGCGGGGGAGGCACCCCAGAAGGAGGAGGCACCCCAGAAGGAGGAGCAGAAGACGAGGACGAGCCCCCAGGAGCCCCCGAGGTCCCAGACGGGGCGCCGATCTCAGCCTCGACAGGCGGAGCTATCTGTTTTCCTGTGTACTCGCTGTACAATATCTGCGGGTCAGCCGAAAGAAACTCTGTGCGCACATCCACTGAACAAAACAATGCCGCAGGATAACGCTCGACTTCAGCCGCAATATCGGCAAACTCGGCTACCCGAGCAAAATCCTTAAAGTCTGCGAGAAATTGTGTCCACCATTCGCTAGGCCTCCCATTAAGATACCCCTCCCAATCCACGAACTTATTTTCTTCCCATTCAGCCTGACCAAACAGAGCTCCTATCACCTGTAAATTACTGAGAGGCCAGCGCACAATATTTTGCATCCACTTCAGCCTCTGCATGCGGAGCCGCAGGGACACAGGGCACAGCCTCAGCTGACAGTAAATGTCGTGCGTGGTTCTCGCTTGATATTTCATCCCATCCTCCATCTCCTCCTTGATGCACCCCTCCCCCTTCATCACACGACGAGCAAGAATCGCTTGAACCCCATCCAAGCGTGAGCAGCAATCAGACGTCACCGCAAGTGAGACCAAGCCCGACGTAAGGGCGCCTTCGATAACAGCTTGGTACACAATACTCTTCCATCTCAAATTCGTACAGCTATGCCAGAACCGTCCCAGAAGCCCAAAACTTTGCCTCGCCTTTTTAATCCTGCGGGGATATTCATCACTGCAACTTCCGTCGGCACGTAAATAGGGACCCAGGTACCTGCAGCAACGATTCACGCGCCCAGGAACACTCTCACCAGTGCGCAGCTGCCATGACCCAGACGGCCGATCAAAGTAACCCCCAAAAACACGCCGCCGAGAGACATGGGGAGGAGTAGGCGGATGAGGAGGAGGAGGTGGAGGATGAGGAGGAGGAGGGGGAGTGTGAGGGTAGGACGAGGGCAGGGAGGGCATGGAGCAGAGAGGGCAAGGGATGAACATGAGGGGGAGGAAGGTGAGGGGAGGAGGGGGAGGAATAGGGGGTACGAATGTGGGAGGGGGAAGGAAGGGGCGTGCTGCAGCAGGAGAGAAAGCCACGAACCACGTGTCTTCTGATCCCTCGGCCCCGCCTATCGGGGCAACCGCGGACTCTACGTGATGGCCATGGAGCTGGTGGACTCGATGAACGGAGATGAGATCGACGCTATCTTGGAGGACGGCGTGGAGGAAGGATCAGCAGGAGACAGGAGAGGGGAGGAGGAGAAGGAGGAGGAGGAGGAACCAGACGCGACGGCTTCTGGTTGCTAACGGCGGAGTAACCAAAACGGGAGAGGGGGAGAAGGAGGGAGGAAGTCGAATTCGGAAGGAGTAGGAGGAGAAGGAGGGGGAGGAGAAACATGAGGAGGACGAGGAGCAGGAGGAGGAACAGCGCCTGAGCAGCAGGAGGAGCCCGAACAGGAGGAGGGAGATGACAGATCAGACGGAGAAGGATGATGTTGCTATTGGTGGTGATGATGACGACGACGGCGATGATGATGATAATGGTGATGATGGTGATGATGGTGATGATGATGATGTTGATGATCAGGAATATGAGGACGATGATGATGATGCTGATGTTGATGACGATGATGATGCTGATGATGTCGATGCTGATGATAATGATACAGACGGCGATGATGGTGGTGGTGATGATGATGGTGGTGGTGGTGACGGTAATGATGTGTGTTGATGATGGTGATGATGGTGATGGTGATGATGACGACGACGATGAGGATGGTGATGATGATGAAGAAGAAGAAGATGATGATGATGATGTTGATGTTGGTGTTGGTGACGACGGTGATGGAGATGATGATGTTGATGATGATGGTGATGCTGATGATGTGGATACTGTTGATGCTGATTATGATGCTGATGCTGGTGATGCTGACAGTGGTGATGATGATGACGATGCTGATAATGACGATGATGTCGAATATAATTTGAAGATGAAATATGAATACGATGATGAAATATAATGGTGACGCTGACGATGATGGTGATCATGACGATGACGACGATGATCATGGTGATGACTAGGGTGATGCTGATGCTGATGACGATGATGATGGTGATGATGATGCTGATGATGCCACTGCTGCTGCGATGATGATGTTCGTGATGATGGTGATGATTATGATCATGATGAGTATGATGATTATGATAATGATACTGGTGGTGGTGATGATGATGCTGCTGCTGATGATTATGATGATGATGATGATGATGATGATGATGATGATGATGATGCTGCTGCTGCTGCTGCTGATGCTGATGCTGATGCTGATGCTGATGCTGATGCTGATGCTGATGATAATGATGACGATTGTTCTAGAAGGAAGAGGAGAAGGAGGAGGAGGAGGAGGAAGAGGAGGACGAGGAGCAGAAGAAGAAGAAGAAGAAGGAGGCGGCAGCGGTGGAGGAGGAGGAGGAGGAGGAGGAGGAGGAGGAGGCCTCCAGCGGCCGTTCCCGGAGCGCTGTCAGCGAGGCGCAGCCGCTGTGCCGAGAACCGACGAGAGCGCCCGAAAGCCTCGAAGCTCGAGCCCCGAATGCTCGCTCCTCCAGCCTCGAACCTCGAACCCCGAGCCCAGCAAGCCTCGAGCCTCGAAAGCCTCGAGCACGTCGAAGCTTGAGCCTCGAGCCTAGCCGGAGGAGATGGGCACCAGCCTGGAGGCGGCGCGCGAGGGCTTGGTCGTGCCCGACGACGACCTGGACGCGGAGGAATGGAAGGAGCAGCTGAGGGCGGCCGACGACCGGAAGGCTCCACACGGGGCAGGAGGGGGGACGAGGAGGAGGAGGAGGAGGAGGAGGAGGAGGAGGAGAGGAGGAGGAGGAGGAGGAGGAGGAGGAGGAGGGGGAGGGGGAGGAGGAGGAGGAGGAGGGGCCAGGCTTCCGAAGGTGTTCGACATGCCTTACCGTTCTTGGAGGTTGTCTCACCTCGGGATACTTTCCAGCAGCTGCGCCTCGTCGAGAGCTCTCCGCGGGTGCCTGGATCGTCCCGAACGGCCGCCGGAGGCCCGAGGTATGACCCGAAGACCAGACGCCGAAGAGGAGGAGGAAGAGGGAGACTGATTGATCATGTCGCTACGAAGCTAGGACAAGGAGGGGAGGGACAATGCCTGGAGTGTCCGAGCCACACGCGTGGAGTGGAGGAAGGGGGACAGCCCCGCCCACCACCGCACCAGACATTACCCCCCCCGACCCCATCGAAGCCTCGGACAGGGCACAGCCATAATCAGGGGATTGCAAACATGGATCAAGGGGGTGTGGATTAGCGACGGGTCCCGTTTCCACGGGAAATCGCGGATTCCCGCCGCCAAACGAGGCGGCCCCGGCCGCGTTTTGGGGAGGGCACCTCCCCAGATCCATGGATTTGGCGACCGCGCGCCAAATCCATGGATCGCTAATCCATGCTTGCGCGCCCCCGACAGAAGCACTGACCTCGGGGCCGCTCTGCACGCTGGTCTTCGCCAGCTTCAGTGGCAGCACCTGTCAGCCCACCTTTGCCTGCAACTCTGGAGGGAGAGGCCGCAGTCGGCCGCAAGGGTCACTACCAGTTACTGGCCTTCGTTCCTTACGCACCTCATCCCCCCCCCCCGCCTCCCCCATGGCGGCAGAGCAGCGAAGCAGGGGGGCAGGAGAGGAGACCGCTCCAGGTGCCGGCGGCGAAGCTCTCGGGTCGCACGCGCGAGGCTGCCGCCCGAGTGCCGGCGCTCCTCCCTTGGGGCGTGGGCGCTCCGCCTGGCCCGCTGCGTTGCCAGCTGCGCGCAGCCCTGCCCGACGAGCTCCTCGAACTGGACGGGCTGCAGATAAGTCTTCGAGCTGCACCGAGCTCGACGGGCTGAGCAGCTCCTCGAGCTCGACGGGCTGAGTAGCTCCTCGAGCTCGACGGGCAGGCTGTGCAGCCGCCCAGGCGTCCCGCCTGGGACAGAAGCAAGGGCGCCCTCGAGGGCGCGAAGTTATTCGCGCTTCGCGGTTCGGCTCCGATTCCTCATCCTCCTCATCCTCATCCTCCTCTTCGAGCTGCACCGAGCTCGACGGGCCGAGCAGCCCCTCGAGCTCGACGGGCCGAGCAGCTCCTCGAGCTCGGCGGGCAGAGGCTGTGCAGCTGCCTGGGCGTCCCGCCTGGGACAGACGGGGGCGGCGGCAGCGCCGAGGAGGAGGAGGAGGAGGTGGAGGAGGAGGAGGAGGAGGAGGAGGAGGAGGAGGAGGAGGAGAAGGGGGAGGAGGAGGAGGAGGAGGAGGAGGAGAGGAGGAGGAGGAGGGGAGGAGGAGGAGGAGTGAGGAGGAGGAGGAGGGGAGGAGGGGAGGGGAGGAGGAGGAGGAGGAGGGAGGAGGAGAGAGGAGGAGGCGGAGGAGAGGAGGAGGAGGAGAGGGGGGCGGAGGAGGGGAGGGGGAGGAGGAGGAGGAGGAGGAGGAGGAGGAGGAGGAGGAGGAGGAGGAGGAGGAGGAGAGGGGGAGGAGGAGGTGCAGGTGGAGGAGGTGGAGGAGGAGGAGCAGGAGGAGGAGGAGGAGGAGGAGGAGGAGGCAGAGCCCCAGGAAGCGGCGCAGGCCCGGCCCGGCCTGCAGCGCCCGCGAAGAGGGCAACGATACTCACGGCCATGGCCAGCTCGAGAGCCACGAGGAGCGAGTGCAGCAGCCGGGGCAGGAGGCAAGAGGATCTGCAGGAGGGTCGCCAGGGGGCGCAGCAGATGACGCCTTGCCCTTGCTGTTCCCGGTGACCCTGCCCCTGCCCTTGCCGTCCTCGAAGCAGGGCTCACCACTTGGGCCTCGGCCTTCGCGCGCTGCACAAGGGTAACCAGGACATCGGTAGCAACAGGGGGCTCAGGATCTTCACCGAGACCGTGAGCAGCTGCCGAGAAGTTCACGTTCCCCGCGAACGCGAGCAGCATGCGGAGCTCTACGATCTCCTGTCTCATCACGCTGAGCTCGCGCCGCAGCTCGGAGACCTCCTGCGAGGTGCCACCACTGCCTGGGGAGGAGGCGTGCTGCGCGGTACTGGCCTGGCGCAGCGACGTCAGCCACTGCACGTGGCAGGCGGTGGCTCGCTGCTTCTGCTCGCGACGGCGGCGAGCAACACCGGGCGAGGCAGCGGCAGCAGCCGCACCAGGCACTGCGGCGGCGGCGCGGGCGGGGCAGCCAACCCGTGGAGGTCGCCTACCAAGCGGCCGCGGGGTCGGCCCGAGAGGTTGACCCAGAGCGGCAGCTTGAGGAGGAGAAGGAGGAGGAGGAGGAGGAGGAGGGGGAGGGGGAGGGGGATGGGGGGGGCGAGGGGAAGAGGGAGGAAAAGAGGTGCTGAGGCCCAGGCGGACACACAGTTTTCGGTGACCGTAAACCCCAGCCCAGCGCTGCCACTTCAGGCCGCATCGATGTTCATCCCACCATCCCCCAGCGAAGATGTTCAGGAGAATCTGGGTGGCACAGAAGAGAGCGAACCAGAACATCGCAGGACAGATTCATTGTCAGGACAACCAGTGCCCAGTGAAGACCCTACCAACACCACTCATCGGGCAAATATGTAACTTTGCAGTGTTCTATTTGCGCATGAATCCTGTGCAACAGCACGAAGCAATTTGCATGTGATTATGCCCATGGCCGTAGACGCGCTAACTGTGTGTTAGCGAACTGCGAACTAGGACGTCAAATTGTAGGAAAGCGCGGTTCGTGGCCAAACCACTTGTAGGAATGCGTGGTTCGTGTTTTCCTGCAGCTCGCTGTGTCGTTTTCGTTCGGTACACTTGCATGTTAGAAATGTAGGAAACGGCCTCTCGTGATTTCCTACATGTTGTTCTTCGTGAGCACGGTGTCACAAAAACCATATTCCCAACCGCACCGTGAACCAATCACGCCGTTAGCGCGGCCGTGGCATGGCTGGTGGGTAAATGTGCCGCCCAAGACGAAATCGGGTGGCAAGGCAAGCAGTGGTGGCAAGGACGAAAGGCAAAGGCAAGGGATGTGATACGTGGTCGCCAACGCCTCCATCGAGGAGGAGAAGGAGGAGGCGCCCAGCCACAATAACTAATGCCTCAATGCCATGACATTAGGAGTGGATCCGTGCACGCAAGAGACAACAATGGCAACACCATGGTACCAACAGCCGCCAAGATAATAACAAGTGTAGCCACGGGGGAATTATTTCAAGCATAACAAAGAACAGCATCATAACTTGCGACAGCTCGTGAAAACCATGTTCGCAGCAGGAGAACGGATGTGACCAGCGAGAAACATGGCGCGGCAGTTTTCATATGCATTGGAACATCTATGGGCGATGCTGGCAAGCAGCCATCAGGTGCAAGAGCGACGTTGGAAAGTTATCACGCCAGACCGTCAGGAGTTCTCGGAACCCGGGACAACTTGGAGGAAATGTTCGCAGCGAGCAACAACAATCCCACACATTGATAAAGACGATCGAGCATTAGGAAGAGCAATTGGAAACCAATTGGGAGGAACATCTTTCAGGGTGGGAAGTTGGATTGGGGGATGGCCGAAGAACCCACGGCCGGAAGAAGGACACAGGCGGCGAGCAGCGCAGCTCAGGCTTTAGTCGGATTCTGCTCCAGATGCACCATGGGCAAATTATGCTCGCCAGCGAAGCCTCCAGCCGCTGCAGTGCCAAAAGCTGCATCGCTCCACTGAGTGACAGATGCTGCTGGCCACAAGCAGGCGAAGCAACCGCGCACTCATCCGTCTTCCCTCCTGGCCTCGGACCAGGTGCAAAAGAGGGCCAGCACAGCGGGTTTCCGAACATCCAGGGGCCTGCGTGATGCCCCCTGGTGCACCAGCACCTGCCCGCCAGGCATGGGGAAAGGCAGGATCGACCCAAGGCCCCTACGGATACAGTGGGGGCTCGGCCAGAAGAAATCTCCGCAAGAAACCCAACCCTGAAATCCGCGATTTGTTTAATGAAAACCCAAAATTGCCGATCGAAAATCGTCATGATCTTATTGGGGGCACATCGAAATCCAAGAAACCTAGGGCACCCTGGCAAAATCCAACCAGTTTCTTGGCACACGCCCCGACTGCATGGTCAGGCAGCACAGCCGCCAGCGCACGTCCCGCAGGCTGGCATGCCGGAGGGCGGTGGCACGCCAGCGCCGACAGCGGGGGGGCAGCAGCGCCGCGCTCCTGGGAGGGGTGGCACCCTTCACGGCACGCGGCCGGTCACCAGCGGGACACGCAGGGCGCACGCCGCGCCCGAGAAGTCGAGACGGACGTGCCGGCACCGGAGGCCGCGCGCAGGCTTGGGGCGCGGGGCGAACTTTCAGCCTGAGCAGCGGCCCTTGCACTGAGCTGGCATGTGCAGGCGGAGGAAGAGGAGGAGGAGGAGGAGGAGGAGGAGGAGGAGGAGGAGGAGGAGGAGGAGGAGGAGGAGGAGGAGGGGGAGGAGGGGGAGGAAGGGCGGAGGAAGGGGGGGAAGGAACAGGAGGAGGAGGAGGAGGAGGAGGAGGAGGAGGAGGAGGACGGAGAGAGGAGGAGGAGGAGGAGGGGGGAAGGAATGGTAAGGAGAGAAGACCCCCGCCCAGATGTCTTTGGAGCAGTACCTCAACGAGGCCAACGACAGGCTTGGCGATCTCGCGGTTCCTCTGCTCACCCTCGTGCTGCTGATCTTGTCCCGGCTCCTCACGCTCTTTCTGTTGCTGCCGCTGGTCCTCAGTCCTACGCCTCTTTGTACTTTTGTTGCCGATGCTGTTTTTCTTCCTCCTCCTCCTCCTCCTCTTCTTCCTCCTCCTCTTCCTATTCTTCCTCCACCCTTTCCTCCTGCTTCTCGGGCACTCCTCTTCGTGATCTTCCTTTTCCTGCGCTTCCTCCTCCTACCGCCCCGCTCCTCGTTCTCCCCTCCTACCCCGATTTGACCCCGCTCCCCTGCTGCTGTTACTGCTGCTGATGGTTCTCCTCCTCCTCGATATTCGTGCCTCTTGCTTCTCCTCCTCCTCATCATCATCATCATCATCATCATCATCATCATCATCATCATCATCATCATCATCATCATCATCCTCCTGCTCCTCCGGCTCCTCCTCCTGCTCCTCGTCCTCCTCCTCTTCTGTTTATCAGTTATCCTCGGTCTCCTCCCGCTGTCGCTGCTCCGCCTCCCCCTCTTGGCGGCTGCGGTGCCAGGCCCGCCTCAGGTCTGGAGTCCACCGGGGCCAGGCGCGCACGGAGGGCGCCTCCTTGGCACTGTTTCCGCGGACGGTCTGTGTGCACTGTACTGTGTTGGCGTCTCCCAAGGCGGCTACATCCTCCTCCTCCTCCTCCTCCTCCTCTTCCCTCCTCCTCCTCCTCCTCTTCCCCCCTCCTCCTCCTCCTCTTCTTCTTCTTCTTCTTCTTATTATTATTATTCTTTTGTTTTTTTTGTCATTGTTAGTACTCGTATTATCATTACTACTATTATGTTTATTCGTATTCCTATGTCTCTTATTTTTCTTACGATTAGTATTATTATTGCTATTTTCCTTCATCGTATTATTATGTTTCTTATTGTTCTGCGTCTTCCTCTCCTTCTTATTCTTCTTCCTCCTCCTCCTCCTCACCTCCCCCTCTGGCGGCTCCAGTGACAGGCCCGCTTCTGGTCCGGCGCCCACCAGGGCCAGGCGTGCACGGAGGGCGCCTCCGGCGGATGCTGCTTGCACCATGCCGTATGCTTGGCGTCTCCCGAGGCGTCGTCGGCCTTCGCCCCAGGAGTGGTGCGGCGGATAGTTTTCCAGCCCCCAGTGCCGACAAGGTATGCACCGTGCCGCTCCTCCTTCCTCCTCCCCCCCCTCCTCCCCCTCGTCCTCATCCTACTCCTCCTCCTCCCCTCTCCCCTATCCCCCTCCTCATCCTCCTCCTCCTCTCCTCCGCCTCCTCCCGTCTCCTCCCTCGTCCTCCTCATCGTCCTCCTCCTCCTCCCCCTCCTCCTCCTCCTCCTCCTCCTCCTTCTACTACTACTCCTCCTCCTATGCACCGTGCCGCGTTCGAGCGGGGCCTGAAGGGAGTCCCAGGTGCACGGGAGCAGTGCTCGTACTGCTGAGCTGGACGGGGAGCGACGGCTCGCTCGGGATCCGCCTTCTCCCGCGGGGGGGGGGGGGCAGCAGAGCAGAAGCAGGGGGAGCACTATGAGGCAGGGAAGGAGGAGGAGGAGGAGGAGGAGGAGGAGGAGGAGGAGGAGGAGGAGGAGGCAGGAGGAGGAGGGGGGGAGGAGGAGGAAGGAGGAGCAGCACCAACAGCGGATGAGGGAGGGGGATGAGGGAGGGGGGGCAGAAGGAAGGGTGGAAGGACAAGGGGAGGAGAATGAGGAAGCTGATGTTGCAGCCTCCTCCTCCTCCTCCTCCTTTTCCTCCTCCTCCTCCTCCTCCTCCTCCCCCATCCCTTTCCCATATAAAATCATATACTCCTGTCGCAGCCCGAGACGTGTGTCGGTCGGGCGGGGCTGGGGTGTCGCTTGAGTTTTTACCGTTTACGATCCTGAACCTTGCTATGGGCAAACGGTAACCTTGATTCGCGGCGCTGAAGTCCAAGGAATGGCTTGACACGACTGAGGATTATCAGAACCTTGTCTTCCAACGGGCCATCTCCCGGTGTGAAAACGGTTTGATACAAGGACCTACGAAGAAGGAATTTGTAGAGAGGGTTGATTGCAACATCGGTGATGTGGGTCATCACCCCCTTCTTCATACTGTTATTCGCTGTGCTCCTCATATCTCACTCACCTCCCACTCCTACTCCGAGTCCTGCCAATACCCGTAGTCTGTATCTCCTTCCTTTTCCTGTTGGCGCCTGTTTCCGTCCTCATCCTTCTCCCCCGCCTCCTTGACGTCCTCCTCCTTTTCGTCCCTGTCCTCCTGTCCATCCTCTATCCTTATAAATAATGTGTTCCTGTCGCACCCGAGACGTGTCGGTTATGCGGGTCAGGCGTCGAGACTTGTTTGCCATCTCTTGTCCTGAACCTAGAAATCTGCGAAAACTTGACGGATGGAGGGCGGGAGGGTTGACAACATGTGGCTCTCGGTTCAGCGTCGCGCGCATTCGCTCTTTCTAGTTTGCAACAGCTTCGCGGATGGAGGGCGGGAGGTGGCGCAAAAGGTGGGTTCTCGCTTCCAGCGCTGTGCAGGCTCGCCTTGAGAATCTGCAGCAGCTTCGAGGGTGAAGGGCGGCTCTTTTTCGAAATGTGGCGCTCGCCTTAACGCCACAGGCACTCCTCCACAAAGTGTACAACGGTTTCAAGTGTTCGAATGGGTCGAGATCCCAGAGATGGTCTTCTGCTGGGTTCTGGGACTGTCAGAACGCAACCGTCACATTGATCCGCGTCGAAGTTCCAGGAATTGTGTTCTGCATGATTGAGGATTGCGAGGACGCAACAGTCGCCTTGATTCGCAACGCTGAGGTCCCATGAGTTGCGTGTGCGCGCGATTGAGGATTCTCAGATGTCGGTAGAGTTAACTGGGCGTTTCGTTTGCGATTTGTTCTTAACATATATATGTGTATGTGTATATATAGCCCTGAAAACTGACATGTGCACTTGTTACCCGAGTGAGGAGTCAAAATGGGGCTCTTGATTCAGCGCCGCGCACACTCACCTTACAGTATCGCAGAGGCTACAAGGGTGGAGGGGGCGCTGTTTTCAAGATGGAGCTCTCGCTTGAGCGCCGGGCGCACTGGATGTAAAGGCCGTGCATATTCGCTTGAACAGTTTGCAGCCCTCCCAGGGGTGGAGAGCGCGTCGTTTCCAAATTGGACTTCGCCCCAGCGCCGCGCACATTTGTTGCAAAAGTGTGCAATCGTTGCCGGGCTGGAAGGCGGCTTCCTCTTCAAAATGGGATTGCCGCTTCGGTACCGACGCGTTCTCCTTGAAATTTTGCAGCAGCTATCCGGACGGAGGGCGGTTCCTTTTTCGAGATGGAGCTCTCCCTTCAGCGCCGGGCACATTCGACGTAGAAGCTTGCAACCGTTACAGGGATGGAGGAAATAGTGTTTTTGTTATATGAATGGTGTTATTGCTATACAGCGGGGGCGCGCAGCAAGAAACCATTTGCTTTTCGTCAGGGTACCCTGGGGTTTTTCGCTCTTCGCGCTGCGCGGTGACTTCCCGCAGCCGTTGAAGGAGCTGATGCGTTCAGGGTGTTCCAGGTTTCCCCTCAGGTGCACCTGGCGCGCGGGTTCTAAGGGCTGGGTTTCTTGCGAGGGTTTCTTGCGGCCGCGCCCGCGCTGTAGTGCCGCGCGCTCTCGTCTTCACAGCTTGCAACCCTTCCAGGCACGAAAGAGGGGTCGTTCACAAAACAGGCGCTTCACGCACGTGTTCGAACATTTTGCAACTGCTACCTGGCTGGAAGGCGGCTTCCTCTTCAAAATGGGACTCTCGCCTCAACGTCGCACACGTTCGTGTCAAACGTTCGATGCAGCTACCAGGGTGGAGGGTAACTCTTGTTCAAAATTGGACTCTCGCCTGAGCGCCGCGCACACTGTCTCACAAGCTTGCAGCGGATAGACAGAGAGTCTTTTTCGAGATGGAGTTCCTGGTGAGCGCTGCGCACATTCGACGTTGAAGTTTACAACTTCTACACGGACGGATGGGATCGTTTTCAAAATGAAGTTATCGCCATTGTGCCGCGCAAGCTCGTATTTACAGCCTGTAACCCTTCCAAGGGCGGAAGGCAGCCGTCTTCATAATAGGCTCTGGCGTAGCGCCGCGCACATGTGTCCCAAACGTGTGCAGCCGCTATGCACCTGGCTACGAGGTGGTCGTTGTTTCAGCATGTGGTTCTTGCCGCAACGTCGCACACATTCGTCTTACGTAAACACTTGCTGCAGCTATTGAGGTGGAGGGTGGTTCTTTTCTAAAATAGGGCTCTCGCCTGAAATAGAAGCCAGAAGTCTGAACATATGCGGCAGCTGCAGAGATGGAAGGCAGCTCCTTCTCAAACTTGGGCTTCGCTTGAAATTTCCTTGACACGCCTGGCCCGAAGTGTAAGCTTATATGGTCCAGGGCTTCGGCCCCCCCCCCAAATGCTGATGCCATTGGCCTCCCCCCCCCCCCCCCCCCCCCCCGCCGCGATGGTCCCCCCGCCCCCCCATGTGGGCACCCCCCTGTGGGCGTGGCGTGGTGCTGCGCTGCGGTGCCCCCCTCCCCCCCCCTGTGGATGTGGTGTGGTGCTGTGGTGGTTCAGAGGTGGGCGTGGCGTGGTGCTGCGCTGCGCTGCCCCCCTCCCCCCCCCGTGGATGTGGTGTGGTGCTGTGGTGGTTCAGAGGTCGTCGTCGTCGTCGTCGTCCTCGTCGTCCTCGTCGTCCTCGTCGTCGTCGTCGTCATCGTCGTCGTCGCCGTCGTCATCGTCGTCATCGTCGTCGTCGCCGCCGCCGCCGGCGTCGTCGCCGCCGCAGCCGTCGTCGTCGTCGTCGTGGTCGTCGTCATCGTCGTCGTCGTCGCCGTCGTCGTAGTTGTCGCCGTCGCCGCCGCCGCCGTCGTCGTCGTCGTCGTCGTCGTCGTCGTCGTCTCTGGGACCATACCATCTGGGGGGGGGGGCCCGAGGAATCCTGGGACCATACCATCTGGGGGGGAGGGGGGGGGGGCCCGTGGGCCCGGAGCCCGGGATCATATCTGATCCAGGGTCGAGGGTTCACGGGCCCCCCCCCCCAGATGGTATGGTCCCAGGATTCCTCGGCCCCCCCCCCCCAGATGGTATGGTCCCAGAGACGACGACGACGACGACGACGACGACGACGACGACGGCGACGACGACGACGCGACGACTACGACGACGGCGACGACGACGACGACGACGACGACGACGACCACGACGACGACAACGACGGCTGCGGCGGCGACGACGCCGGCGGCGGCGGCGACGACGACGATGACGACGATGACGACGGCGACGACGACGATGACGACGACGACGACGAGGACGACGAGGACGACGAGGACGACGACGACGACGACGACGAGGACGACGACGACGACGACGACGACGACGACGACGACCTCTGAACCACCACAGCACCACACCACATCCACAGGGGGGGGGAGGGGGGCACCGCAGCGCAGCACCACGCCACGCCCACTTCTGAACCACCACAGCACCACACCACATCCACAGGGGGGGGGGGGCACCGCAGCGCAGCACCACGCCACGCCCACAGGGGGGGGCGGGGGGGACCATCGCGCGGGGGGGGGGGCCCAATGGCATCAGCATTGGGGGGGGGGGGGCCCAAGCCCTGGACCATATATGGCAATACCTTTGAGCATTTCTGACTACTCGCCAGGTGGATGCAAGGCAGGGAGTATTGGCTCAAGACGAGGCTCTCGCTTGAAGTGCAGGCGCATAAAGTACTGGTTTTTCAAGTGGGCGCTTCTTGCACTTAACAGGAAGAAGGCCTGTGTCACCTTTAACTTTATGAGCATGCAACTAAGGGACGGGAGGGTGTCTTGCAGCGTCGTTGATGCATCGTGGGTTGCCTCTGGTCATTTTTCTCCTCCTACTCCTCCTTCTCCTCCTCCTCCTCCCAAACCCCCTCCTCCTCCTCCTCCGTAGCCATTTTGGCTCAAGGCCAAAGTGGTTACTTCTGAACTGCCTATGCGGGGTCGGCTCCCGTCCAGTTTTCGTTCCCAGAGGACTTTCATGTGCACCACATTCGCCCTCGAGGACTCGGCTTCTTCCTGGCTTTTGCTGTGCTGGGCTGCTCCTGCAGCCGCTGGTTGCTGGAGGCGACATGGACTCCGGCACGGACCACGCCCGCCGCAGCGCCATCAGGAGCGGCGGAGGTCTTGACTCTCCACGAGACGACTCTCCCCGACCGCGTGACGAACACGCCCGCCGTCGGCAGCGGCGGCCTCCACAGGATTACGACCGCGATCGTCGACAGCCTCGAGCCTCTCAGGACCAACCTCGAGATGAGCGCCGCGGAGGAGCTGGCCGTCTTGGTGGACATGCCCCTCGCCCTGGTCGCGCCACCGCACCTCTACCAGCACAAGAACATCACAACCTCGTTGCAGCCCATGACGCCGCTGCTACTTTCCCCTCCCAGGAACCCGAAGATCCTCTGGCCTGGGCAGATCCATGGCGTGAGCGCCCCGCTGCGGCACCTAGTGGTATTGCTTCTCGCGCCGCGGCTTCTGGATCGCCAGCTGCCCCAGCTGCTGAAGACCTCGATGCGCTCACCAAGTCCCTCCATGACCAGCTCACGGCCCACGTCGACACCACGCTGGCCGCGTTCAAGGCTGACACCGCACGTACCGTCGCCAAGGCCATCCACGACTCGCAGACCATCCTGTCGAGGCGCATCGATGGCACCGATGGCGAGATCGCGCCCCTCAAGCAGCGCATCACTGCCTCCGAGCGCGCCCAGGAGGAGACAAAGCGGGCGGTCGCTGACCTCCAGAAGGCTCTCTCCATCGCTGAGGTGCAAATCCCTATCGCCGACGTTGTTGCTGAGGCGGAGTTTGACCGTGCTCCTGACCCTGCGGTCTTCTCCGTGGGTTGCTCTGAGCTCGTGGCCCCTCGACAAGTACAAGAAGGACTCGCCGCCTGGTTTTCTGAATCTGGAGTGGATTGGGCCAACGCTTCGTTGGTTGGTGACGCGCCCGCCAAGCGGTTCACTCTTCGTCTAGTCGGAGGACCTGCTGTCGCCGCTCCTCGTGCCGCTGCGCTTGTTCGTGGCCTACGGCTCCAAGGCGGCGCATGGCGGCAGTTCCAGGTCAACGCCGTCACGGGCCAGGCTCTCCAGCCCTACGTCAGCCCTGACCGCAGTCCGCGCCAGATCCGCAGGGAGATCCAGACCCGGCGCATTCACCGACTCCTCGAGGAAGCCCGCCCTGCTGCCAACCTGCGTCCCTACAAGCAAAAGGGTCGGGTCGCCGGCGATGGCGTTCCTCTCGTTCGCCTGGACGTTGGAACCACCGCGAACGCCGACGCCAAGGTTGTCTGGAATCTCACCCTTGCCCGCGACCTTCGCCTCGACACGGCTGCCATCGACAGGGCGTTTCACGACTTCCTCTCGGAGGACCGCGGTATCTTGTGGGGGTGGCAGCTACAAGTCACACGGCGCGTTGGCTCTCCGCCTGGTCACCTGGAACGCTCGACTCGTGGCCTCCTAACTGTCAACATCAAGCGGAGGAAGGCCAAGTTTGCTGCCCTGTTGCCGCTGATGCGCCAGCGCTACCTCATCCTACTTCAGGAAGTCCATGGCGATCTCTCGCGCCTTCAGCGCGCCATCCATGCTATGCCCTTCAAGTACGACGTTCTACACAACGACAGTGGTGACCCCAGCGTGGGAGGTACGGCGTTCCTGGTCCCACGGAACCTCGATGTGGACATCTTTGACCTGGCCTCTGCGCGTGGTTCTCCAACGCCGACTGGTTCATCTGGCAGCGCATCCACGTCGTCCACCACTTCCTCCGACTCGCCCACGACGGTCAATTTGGGTGTACTGGCCTATCCTGGCTTTGTGGCGTCTTCCCTCTCCGGGGTCTTCCCATGGCCCTCTCTGGCCGGACGGCATTGCGACGCCGCATCCACAATCCACGCAGGCCACGGTGTTCCATCGCGTCCTGGTCCCAGGTCGCGTCCAGGCCCTTGAGTTTTTCCTGGGGCCCCATTGCACGGCCATCGTTTTGAACATCCACAACTTTGATTTCCCGGTGGCGGATCGTAGCGTTACCTTTGGCTACTGGCAGGCGCCCCAGCAATGGGCGTCACAAGCGCCACTCCAGCGGATATTCTGTGCGCTTGGTGACTACAGCATCCATGGTGATACAGCCGTTCACTTGCGCCGTCCTGGCCCCCTGCAGTTTCCGTCGCCTGGCGGTAATCAACGCAAGCAGTCCTCCTGGCGGCGGCTCTTTGGCTCGATGACTGAAATCACCTCCGGCGAGCCGACGCGCTTCGACCCCCGCGCGGCGACGACGACACGCATCGACCGCATCTTCTGCAATTTGCCTGCGCGTGCCTTCCCCGACCTCCAGCTTCGCGTTCGCGTCCAGCACGATGCGCCTACTTTGAGCGACAGGCGCTTGACCGACCATGCGGCCCTTGCCTCCACGTCGACAAGGGCGCCATCAAGCAAGAGCACACGCAGGCCATCCCTGACTTCATCTTCACGCTGCCGATGTACCAGAAGTTGTTCGACCTCCTTGTCGCCCACTCTAACGGCGTCTCCACCTCTCCGACGCTGGCTCGGCGCTCTCTCAGGTCCAACATGGCGGAGGCTGCTCGCCTCACTCGCAACCGCCTTCTACAGCTACCAGGTGGTGTCCGAGGCCAGATCCCTGTCGAAGCGCACCCGCTCGTCTTCCGGTCGGTCTCCCGTGCGGTTTGGCGCCAGGGCAAAACTCTAGCCGCCGCCCTCGTTGCTCTCGACCCGCACGCCCAACACGTGATCAAGATCGAGAACGATGTGGTCAAGCTCTGTGACGAGGTGGAATTCGCCGAGCTTTCCCAAAAGACACATTACGACTACTACGTCACGCAGAAGAGGAAGGCATCGGCTACTGCCCAACATGCGGCTCAGGGAGGTCGAACCATGGAAGCCACCTACCAGCAGAGGGCTGCGCGCACCGCGCAAAGGAGAGCTCGCGCCTGGGCCCCATTTTCCCGGATTGTCCAGCTTGTCAGCATCCGCATCCCTGATGCGACGGACATTGCAAAGTCTCCACAGGCCATGCTCAGGCCCTACAATCTCACTGGTTGCCAGTCTTCGCTCATAAGCCTGTGGACCGCGCCGCGATGGTCTCCTACGCGCGGCGGTTTGCACCTTCCCTCCCGCGCTGGCCACGACTCGTTCTTCCAGCCGTTGCTGCGCTGCAACGAGCTGCTCGACGCGCGCGCGCTTCGGCGCCAGGTCCCGATCGACTTCCCGATCGTGCTAGGCTGGCCGCGCCGAAGGCCCTGGACGCACTAGACGACGTCATCTGGGACATGCTGGCCACTGGAATTGCTCCCGCTGGTTTTAATGACTCAATATTCTCCTTCATGCCGAAGGGCACTGAGGACGACGATGCTACAGTCTGCGCGCGTGCTCCCGACGGGCTGCGCCCGCTCTCCCGCAAGAACACGGACAGCAAGCTCTTCGCGTCTGCTCTCAACGAGCAGATGCGTTTACCTGTGGAGGAACACGCGCACGACATCCAACAGGGATTTATTCGCGGCCGCAATTTCTGCCGCAACATCGCCGTCATGGACGCGCTCGGGCGTGCCGCTGGACCCCCCCCTTACGCAGGCGAGCGGCGTCCCGTCCAAATATTGTTCGACATTGCGGCGGCTTTTCCGTCCCTCGGCAGAGACTGGTTGTTCACATCGCTCGAAAACTTCTGCTACGACCAGGGCTTCATGAATGCGGTCTCAGCCCTTTACCGCGACTCCCACGGCGTCATCCTGCTTGATGGGGGGTTACCACTACATCTGCCCACTTGCTGCGGGCGTCGCCCAAGGCTGTCCCCTGTCCTGCGCTGTTTGGGCCACGCCATGGACGTGGTTCTTCGCGCACTGGACGCACAGCTTGGCACCGCTGATACTGGTGCGGCAGCTGCATGCGTTGATGATATTGGCCTGCACCTCAACCGTCTCGACGACCTACCGCCGCTGCACTCCATTTTCGGCGCTGCTTCCGACTACGGGCACCTACGCCTGCACCTCAGGAAGTGCATCATCATACCCCTCTGGACTACGACGACCCCGCAAGTCCAGCTGGAAGTCCGTGAGCATCTCGCTGCTCACCTCCCGGCGTGGCAGCACTTCAGCATCCAAGGGCATGGCTCGTACCTTGGGGCCAAGACGGGTCCAGAGGCGACCGCGCAACTACAATGGCAGGCCCCAGCAGGGAAATGGTGGGAGCGCATCGTTGCCCTCTCAACCACGGGTGCACCAACGGATGTTCTGGCACGGCTCTACCAGGTTTCGTGCATCACGGTCGTCGGATACCTCATGCAGTTTTTCGAGCTCCCTGCTGAGGTATTCCGTCGGGAAATCCATGCTCTTCATCGTGTCCTACGGCTGCCTCCGAACACCATGCGACTCACGGACATACTTTCGTTATCTACCTGGTCGCCGTCCCCGGCTCCGCGCGGGCTGGGCCCGCACAACTTCGCGCCCCTGTGGCGCGCGGCAACCTTCACGATCACCAACTGGCGGCTCCTTCATCAAGCCCTTCACGACAGTGCGATGGAACACCTACCGGTTGCGGCATGCATCGAGGGCTCATGGTCACCACCTTTTTGGCAACAGCCTTTGTCAATTGCGCAGAGGTTCGCGCAGGCCCAAGATGGACGCACGACGTTGCCTGTTAAGGTGAACTCGTCGTCCTTGCGCGCCATTGACCGAGAAGTGCAGACGCTTCTCCAGGGCGAGAGCGCGGACGGCATCCGACCACGTCCGCAGCGACTCGTGCAACACGCTCTCACTATTCAGGCTCACCCCGATCGGCTCTGGTGCGCGATAGCGAAGCGGATCGCCGCTTGGTATGGTGCTGCTGTTGTGCCGCATGACCTTCCAGATCGTTGGCTTCGGCTTCGTGGTCATCTCTGTGAGATCTCGCCTGCGTGGCGGTGGGCAGCACTCAAGACGGCCACCGGCGGTTGGCACACCCCGCACAGGATGCATGTGCACCCGGACCGCCGCCGTTGTGCTCTAGGGTGCCCTGACGCTGATGCCATCGGGCACTACCTGGTATGCCCACGATTGTTGCACCTCACGTGCCTCCCGCGCACCTTCACCCACGCCACCCCACTCGCGCGGTTCGGCCTTGGCGAGCGTCACGACTACCCTGACGATCCCCGACACGAGCGTTCCATGCCGAACACGGTCTCCAGGCTGGTGTTGTCCTACTATGTGGTTCTGGAGCTCCGAAACCAGCCGGCGGCTCCCCGTAACACCTCCTCCTACGACGCGCATATTCGGGAGCTGCGGGCGGCGCGTGATCGCCTACGACACGGCGAATCCCCCACTACATTGCCACCCTCGACCCGCATTCACCCCGACGCCCTGCCCCGAGTACCCGTCGGCACCCCTCCCCTGAGGCCTACTCCCACGACTGATGACGCATCTCCACTACTTGACGGCTTGCTCGGACGCTCTGCTGCTGAGCCCACGTCTCTCTCTGCCGCCACGCACGGCCACGACTACACTCATGAATCCGACGCCTCGTCGCAAGCACTCCATAATGCTGCGTCCGGTGTTCCTGATGCTCCTGACGTTCCTTCTGCAGTGGTAGTTGGGCGGCCCATGCCACGCAGTTTCTTCGCCCCGATGGCTAACCCTCCGAACAACGAAGACATGGTGACAACTCCGCAGGTGCCTTACTGCATCCCCGAGCCGCACCACACCAGCGACGCTACGGAGTTCGACGCGCCGAACATTGCCCAAGTCGTCGCCGCGTCCTTCGACATGGTGCGCGAATCCTACTAAAGAGCCCCGCCGCGGCCGTGGCGATGATGCATCCGCCGCCTCAGTCCGCAGCTCCTCCTCGTCCTCCTCCTCGTCCTCCTCCTCCTCCTCCTCCTCCTCCTCCTCCTCCTCCTCCTCCTCCTCCTCCTCCTCCCACCCCTCCTCCTCCTCCCACCCCTCCTCCTCCTCCCACCCCTTTTCCTCCTCCTCCTTTTCCTCCTCCTCCTCCTCGTTTTCCTCCTCCTCCTCCTCCTCCACTTCCTCCTCCTCCTCCTCGTCCTCCTCCTCTCCAACCTCCACAACCTCAACCTCCACTTCCTCGTCTCGGAGAAGGGGGATTTGAAAAAGGTGGCTCTTCCGCCAGGCCCACTCCGCTCAAAACCGGTCCCGGGACCCTTCTAGGGGACCGTCCGGACTTGGGGCGGACCCTGGCGCTGCGACGACAAGCCTCCAGGATACCCCGAGAACGCCAGACACGCCAGGGAGGGCCGCCGTTGTCTCTGCTGCCCCCCCTGAGGAGGAGGAGGAGGAGGAGGAGGAGGAGGAGGAGGAGGTGGAGGAGGAGGAGGAGGAGGACCAGTGGAAACCCAAGAGTCATCAACGATGTTGGAATTAACCCTCCCTCCAAGCTCCCTCTTCATAGGCCCCTACAACGGTTCATGTCCATTGGGGGAGCTGCCTCGTTGGAAGACAACCGCTTGAAGACCCTGAAGCATGCCAAAACATTATTTTCGGCATTTCAACGCCACGGATCAACCTGACTTCTGCGTCTTGACGATCCTAAATCGGGCCAGAACACCATTTTTCGACTTTCACATTGCGAATCAACATAATTATCGCGCCCTCATAATCTTGAATCCTTCCCAGACGTGATCATGGGAACCCGTGAAACTCCTGCAAATGTTGAAAACGAATGCGCGCAGCGCTAAGGCGAGAGCCACATTTTGAAACGGAACCGCCCTCAACCCGTGAAGCCCTTGCAATTTGTTCCAACGAATGCGCGCGGCGCTAAGGCGAGAGCCACGTTTCGAAAACGACCCGCGCTCAATCCGTGAAGCTCTTGCAACTGTTTAAAACGAATGCGCGCGGTGCTAAGGCGAGAGCCACATTTTGAAAAGGAACCGCCCTCAACCCGTGAAGCCCTTGCATGTTTTCCAACGAATGTGCTCGGCGCTGAAGCGAAAACCACATTTTGAAAACGGCCCGCCCTAAATCCGTGAAGCTCTTGCACGTTGTCACAGCTAATGTGCGCGGCGCTAAAGCGAGAGCCACATTTTGAGAACGACGCGTCCTGATCCGTGAAGCCCTCGCAAGTTTTTGAGACGAATGTGCAAGGCGCTACCGCTAACGCGAGAGCCACATTTTGAAAACCACCCGCCCTCCATTTGTGAAATTGCTGGTAAATTTCTTAAGTTTCAGAATCATAATTGGTGGGGAAGTCTCAGCGAAACGCCCGGCCCGCCCTAAAAATTAGCTTCGGGGTGCGAAAGGGAAACATTATTTTTGTGGAGAAGGAATGGGGGGGGAAGAGGAGGAGCAGGAAGAGGAGGAGGAGGAGGAGGAGGAGGAGCGGAAGGGGAGGGGGAGGAACAGGAGGAGGAGGCGGAGAAGGACCAGTGGAAACCCAAGAGTCATCAACGATGTTGGAATTACCCCTCCTTCCACGCTCCTTCTTCATAGGCCCCTATACCGGTTCATTTCCATTGAGGGAACTGCTTCGTTGGAAGACAGTCGTTTGAAGATCCTGAAGCATGCCAAAGCATTGTTTTCGGGATTCCAGAATAGTGCCAAAACGCCATTTTGGAGACTTCAACACAACGAATCAATATAAGCATCGCGCCCGCATAATCCCGCGGTCCGGTTCGGCGCGCTTTCGTGTTGGTTCGGCCATCGCCGTCCGGTTCGGTTCATCCGGTTGGGTTCGGCCGGTTCGGTTCGGCCGGTCCGGTTCGGCCGCCCGGTCCGGCCGGTTCGGTCCGGTTCGGCCGGTCGGCCCGGTCATCAAGCCGGTTCGGTTCCATGTCGACAACAACAAGGCGCTGGCCCGCGCCGCTGACCAAGGCGCCATGCTGGGGCAGGACAGAGAGAGGAGAGAAACAGACAATGGAAGAAGGAGAGGGGAGGGAGGAGGGAGGGAAAGAAGAGGGAGGCGGGCCCCCCAGCGCCCCCCGGCGCCGGCGCGCGCGCTTCCGCCTCGGCCGGAAGCCGCGACGCCAGCGGGGGCGAGCGCAGGCAGGAGGGAGGAATAGAGGGGGAGGAGGAAGGTGGACTCCCCAGCACCCCCCAGCATCCCCCAAGACCTCCAGGACCCCAGAGCCCCCCGAGCCCCCAGAGCCCCCAGAGGCCCCGCCGAGCCCCCAGAGCCTCCCGAGCCCCCAGACGCCCCCAGCCGAGCCCCCAGAGCCCCCAGAGGCCCCGCCGAGCCCCAAGAGCCTCCCGAGCCCCCAGACGCCCCCAGAGGCCCCCAGAGGTACCCAGAGGCCCCAGAGCCCCCAAAGCTCCGAGAGCCCCCAGAGCCCGCCGAGCCCCCAGAGCCCCCAGAGCCCAGAGGCCCCCAGAGGCCCCCAGAGCGCCCAGAGCCCCCCAGAGCCCCAGAGCCCCTAGAGCCGCCAGAGGCCTCCGAGCCCCCCGAGCCCCCCGAGCTTCGATAGGCCCGCAGAGGCTCCCAGAGCCTCCAGAATTCCCCGAGCCTCCAGAGCCTTCCGAGCCCCCAGGAGCTCCCAGCACCCCCCAGGATCCCAGCACCCCTCAGCCCCTCCCAGCACCCCCCAGCACCCCCCAGGACCCCCCAGGACCCCTCCAGCACCCCCCAGGAGCCCCCAGGGTTTCCTTCCTTCGCTTCATCCCTCCTCACTCGTAGCTAAAGCGGTTCAAGAATTTACGAAATTACAAGTTTTTGCGCTATTGTGCAGATGGCGTCCCCTGCAATACTATTGGATTTTTGGCCCAAGCAGCCTTACTGCGCCGACTACAGCTTCTGCAAGCCATGCTGGACAGAGGAGGGCGGCGGGCAGCCCGATGCTATGAAGGTGAAGGCCCTCTTGGACAATATATGTGATACGGTATCGCCCATGATGTGCCTAGTGTCCTCTTCCCCCTCCTCCTGGGAGCCTCTGGCGGCTCCAGGGGCTCTGGGGGCCTCTGGGGCCTCTGGCGGCTCCAGGGGCTCTGGGGGCCTCTGGGGGCTTTGGGTGCTCTGGGGGCCTCTGCGGGCACTTGGGGGCTTTGGGGGCCTCTGAAGGCTTCTGGGAGCTCCGGGGGCTTTGGGAGCTCTGGGGCCTTTGGGGGCCTTTGGGGGCTCCATGGGCTCCAGGGGCTCCAGGGGCTCTGGGGGCCTCTGGGGGCTTTGGGTGCTCTGGGGGCCTCTGGGGTCTTTTGGGGGCTCTGGGGGCTCTGGGTCTTTGGGGGCCTCTGGGGGCTTCTGGGGGGTCCTGGGGGATCCTGAGGGCTCCTGGGGGGATCCTGGGGGGTCCTGGGGGGTTCTGGGGGGTGCTGGGAGGTCCTCGGGGGTGTGGGGGGTTTCGGGGGGGTCCTGGGGGGCTTCTGGGGGGTGCTAGGGGGGTTCTGGCCGGCTCGGTTCGGCGGTGCCGGTTCGGTTCGGCTGGTTTCGTTCGTCGGGCCGACTCGGTCGAGTTCTGCCAGTTCGGTTCGAGGGCCGGTCTGGTTCGGCCGGTTCGGTTTGAGGACCAGTTCTCGGTTTCCGGTCCGGTTCGCGGCCATCATGTTCGATGACACCATTTCTGGTACGTTGATCATGGGAATCCGTGAAATTCTTGCGAATGTTACAAGCGAGTTTCGCGGCGCTAAGGCGAGAGCCACATTTTGAAAAGGACCCGCCCTCAATCCGTGAAGCCCTTGCAAATGTTGAAAACGAATGCGCGCGGCGCTAAGGCGAGAGCCACATTTTGAAAACGACCCGCCTTCAATCCGCGAAACTCTGGCGTTTTCTGAAGCTCTTGCAAATTTTATAACACATGTGCGCGGCGCTTAGGCGAGAGCCACATATTGAAAGCGAGCCCCCTCCATCTGTGAAGCTGTTGTCACTTTTTACATTTCAGAGTCATAGAGCGAAACGCCGGGCCCGCCCTAGAAAATGTATAAGGAGCTATGCATAAGGAACAGGAATGGAGAAGGAGGAGGAAGAGGAGGAGGAGGGGAAGGGGGAGGAAGAGGACCAGTGTAAACCCAAGAGTCATCAACGATGTTGGAATTAACTCTCCCTCCAAAATCCGTCTTCGTAAGTCCCTACATCGGTTCATTTCCGTTTGGGGAACTGCCTCGTTGGAAAACAACCGTTTGAAGACCCTGAAACATGCCAAAACATTCAACACGGATCAAACTGACTGCTGCGTCTTGACGATTCGGAATTGTGCCAGAACGCCAATTTGGGACCTTAACACTGCAACCCAACATCAATGTTGCACCCGCATAGTCCTGAATCCTTCCAAGACGCAATTTCTGGTACGCTGATCATTGGAATGCGTGAAACCGTCCACATGTTGAAACGAATGTGCGCGGCGCTAAGGCGAAAACCACTGTTTGAAAAGGAACCGCCTTCAATCCGTGAAACTCTGGCAGCATTTAAAAACGAATGTGCGCGGCGCTAAGGCGAGAACCACATTTTGAAAACGGCCGGCCCTCAATCCGTGAAGTTTTTGCAAGTTGTTAAAAACGAATGTGTGCGGCGCTAAGGCTATAGTCACATTTGGAGCACGACCCGCCTTCAATCCATGAAACTTGTGCACATGTTTAAAATGAAGGTGCGTGACGCGCCCTCAATCCGTGAATCCCTGGCAACATTTAAAAACGAATGTGCGCAGCGTTAAGACGAGAGCCGCAGTTTGAAGCTGTTGCCATCTGTTTTATTAGTATTATTTTCGTTCAGAGCCATACGTGGTGAGGGAGTCTCAGGCGAGACGCCCGGCCCGCCCAAAAAAAAACACCCCGGGGTGCGACAGGGAGAAGTTATCTAGAAGGAAAAGGAATGGAGGAGGAGTAGGAGGAGGAGGAGGAGGAGGAAGAGGAGGAGGGTAGGAGGAGGAGGAGGAGGAGGAAAGCAGGAGGAGGAGGAGCAGGAGGAGGAGGAGGAGGAAAGCAGGAGGAGGAGGAGGAGGGATGGGAGGAAGAGGAGGAGGAGGAGGAGGAGGAGGAGGAGGAGGAGGAGGAGGAGGAGGAGGAGGATTTTTTAACATGAACCATGACTGGCAGCTCCAGGTCTGCCAGTAAATAAAACCTTGGCGGTGACAGAGCGGGACGGGCCACACGACACCAGGGCGCCAAGGACAGAGGAGCCACACGGCCCCCGCGGCACTTACACGAGCAGCTTGACAGGAGCCTCGACCTCCAGACCTCCACGAGGTATCGCAGTGCTTTGTGCCTGACCCGCCAAACCCGCGTGTGGGGCCTGGCGGGAGCTTCACTAGACGGCATTGCGACCAGAGAAGAATGTCCTCCACCCCAAGAGAGAAGGGAAGGACAACGCCGGCAGGAGGAACCCCAAGGCTCGGGTTCCAGGGCTGGCTGCGTAACCAGCACCTCCCGCCAGAGCGTCTGCCCAACCCCGCCAGAACCCCAGCCTGGGCCAGGGAGAAAGAGAGCCACCAGGGGCAGAGCATCGGTCGGGGCGGACTAGTAAAACCAATCAACCCCCGTGCCAGAAGCCCGCAGGGTGAGCCCCTCCACTATACGCAGTGAAAAGGACGGCCAGCCGCTGCGAGCTGACGGAACCCCAAGGCTCGGGTACTCAGGCTGGCTGCGAGACACCAGCACCGTCCAACTGCAGACGACTAAATCCCAGATCGAACCTGCTAGTGGCCAGGTCGCTCGAACGACAGATATGCACGTGCAGCGCTCCTTCCCCCAAAACAAGGGGTGCCTGATACGCGTGCAGCGCGTGCGCGCACACACACACACACACACACACTCGCACAAATACTTGAAACACCTTTGGCGACGCCAGGACGACTCGACAATGCTCACCCCTGGTGTAAAGAACGCCAGGACGATGAACAAGCCTCATCCCTGGTGTGGGCCTGACACTCAGCCGATGAACCAGTGCCCCCGTGGCGGAGCCCTCCAGATGAGGACCTCAGGCCACTGGTCGGAGCGAACTGGGCCCGCCTTCTTCATCTCCAACGCGGGGGGAAAAGGCTTCAATCGGCAGCGAGGCAAAAAGCGACGGCACGCAAGAAAGAATACATAGTCGGAGTCTCCGCTGCCTTCTGCATCGGCGGCAGAGTCTGGCTGCTGGAGTTCCGCTTCAAGGGCATAAAACAGCTCGGGCGAAACTTCTATAACGACCCCTTCAAGCTTGGGGTGACGCCCCTTCAGCACTCTGTACTTCCACCTCTCGAAATTGTTGCGGGTCGTGGCCTGGCATTCCTTCGCCGACAATGCCAGCGGCCCTAAGGTAGAAACCGCTTTACACTTAACACACTTGAGCAGGTGAGACCGATCGCTGCAATCGAAACTCAATAGCTTGTGTCCTCTGGCTCCTACTTTTTGCAACGACTCTGGCATTTCTCCCGAACAGCCCTCGGCGGGGGGCATCTCGCTTTGGCCAACAACGAGATCAGGGTTGTGTCGTCTTACCTTGAGGCGCACCGCACATCTCCAATAATATCTGCGTCATTCCCACGCATGTGCAGCAGAGGGCGGGGAAGGAGGCTTCTGGCGAGGCACTCTGGGGACCAGCTGGATACCCGTGAGGTCCGGGGCGGGCCAAGGGGGCAACAGACGTGCCGCAAGAACACGCAGCACGTGAAACCTTCACCTGCCACTCTATATGGTCTAGCTCGGTGGGGCCCCTTGTTGGGTGAGACGAAACGCCAGACTTTGCTGCTGCGTCGGCAGCGTCGTTACCAAATTTCTCCCACTGTTGCTGCTCAGTGAGATCTGGGTCATCTTGCACATGGGCCTTAACTTTAAAGAGTTGCTGCAACAGAGGATTTGGAGCCAGCATCATTGTGCCAGCGTGAACTCTCTTATATGAAAAACGCTCCGTCTGTGGCATCTGGAAAAGACCAACAACGTTTTTGCAATATGAGAAACCTTCCGCAAGG